TAGCTTAAGCACTAGGAAGACTGTGCTCCTAATGCTAGGCAATCTTGTTGACCTAACAGCAAAACAAGTCTGTGAATCAATAAACAGAAGAGGCGCACAGCAGAAATTACAGGAGCAATTTTGTCATAAATAACTGAAACTCAGAAAGCTTAAGTCTTGTAAAGCCACCTCTACAGAAAGTTTTTAGTTTAGGAACAAAGAAAGGTTTGGGTTCAGTTGGTTTTTAGAACTTCCTTCTGACAAAGTAGCCATGGATTCTGCTGCTCCCAGGGAGGACGGCAGATTTTCCAGTCTCACTCTTCACCATAGGAAGAGACTAGCAAGAATAAGAGGAGGTAAAAATAAAAACCTAAAAGAACACCTCATCAAAAACCAGAGTTCATTTTACATATTTCCTGTTCAACGCTGCCTTGATACCAGTTACCTACCTTTCTAGCTGCAAGTTCCCTGTGCACTGCTTATATACACCTAGTACATGCTGAAGCATTTTTAAAATGACAGCCTCCAAGCAGCAAGGACACCTCCACCACTTCAAATGAACAGCTGATTTACTTTCAGTCACTTCTTAGAAGCACTTCAAGTCACTCTCATTCAGCCGGTATTTAGGCTACTAAAACAGAAGAGTCACCCTGAGGGTTCCTGTTCTCCTAAGAGACGTTTTTTCTTCCACAAAGATGGAACACCTCAATACTTTACCACCTGGTATTCTAACCTTCCTCACACCAAGTTTTGCAGCCTTATCCACTCTGAAGAAACCAGGGGGAAAGAACGGGTCTGCCACGCAACAGAATTCTTCTTTGTCTCTCACTGTTTCCCTTCAGCCGGGAGAACCCAGAAGAGGAAAAAAACCCAAAGGGACTTTTGTCTTTGGCTGCTTCGACAGGGTGCAGGGGAGACAGGGTACAATCAGGGCCTCGGACCTCCCCGGGGAGAAACCCGTCAGAGCCACACGCAGCATCCTCGATACTTTTAAACCCCGAAGTTAACTGGGTTTTCAACGAAGTGCGATTCCCGCCCCCGCCCTCCACAAACTCCTCCTTCCCCCCCACCAAGGGGGAGGGGAGGGTGCACTAATTGGACATAAGCTTTTGACCTTCCCCGGTCTGTTGGGCAGCAGGGACACCGAGGGGGCAAGGCCAGCCCTGCGCCGAGACGGCAGCGAAACCGAGCCCGTTAACGGTAATA